CTCTCTCTCTCTCTCTCTCTCTCTCTCTCTCTTCTCTCCTTAATATGTTTCTCTCCTCTCTTTATTTATTTATCCTTTTCTCTCACAGTGAACCAATCGGATATACCAATTTCTAGACCACAACAATTTAACCGCAATAACGATCTCTCGTAAACGTTGTGTCCGAAATTGCCGAAATGGCCGAGTGCTCAAGAACAGTGATAAACAATCAAAACAAATTTCAAAAGAATCAATCGAACCATCAAAATCAAACTCGACCATTCTGAATCTCCTCATAATCTACTTTTACAATTTTTCCCTAATTTATTTATCGACCCGTTAAAATGTTTAATTTATGCGATAAAGCCAAATTATGCCCCCGTACACTGATCCGAATCAGAATCTCGTATCCATTTTCGAGTCCTATTCCCCCCATTCCTATGTTCCATGACGACGAACCTTTTTTCCCCGATTTCGAAGAAGAACCTTCCCGTTCGCTTGACCTAATAATCCACCTCCAAAAAAAACCAAGGTTACCTCTCCTCTTTAACTCTCACATATTAATTTTTATTTACATTTATATACTTCTTGTTAAATCTTTTTATTAATCTCATGACGAAATATCGATATCATTAAATTAAATTAATTGAAGAATTATCATTGTATAACTTGGTAGAATCATCGTTCAAAAGATTCATTTCAAACATTCACACTCTTTGTTGAAATCCTACCCGATGGTCTCCGTATCAATGTAACACCAGCGATCATACACGCACTCACACACCTCTACACACATACTATCTCTCTTGTTTCTTTAAATCATATATATTTTTATGTTCATTAAAAATTTAATTTAGATTTTAATTTTTCTTAATTTTTTTATAAGTCCTCGTTTTCTTTCCCCTATTCTATTAATCGCACGAAGTCTTTTCCTGGTAAAATAAGTTAAATTTTCTGAAAATCACCGATGAACGTTTATGCCACGGTGTCATAGTGTTTCCTTATCGTTGATCTAATGCCGACACATACACAGTGCGTTTCGACTCGAAGGGTTATGTTTCAATACTTGATCGACACTTGATGAGAGAGCAACTGTGCCGTCCAGCCCATTCATATTCTTTTCATTTCTTCTTCTTCTTCGTCGTTTGTTAGGACTTGGTCCTAACATGTCGTTCTCAACATATATTGTCCTCCCTTTATTCCTGTGAACCTGATGTTCAGTTCTCGTACCATCTCTTTGATGGTCTTCGTACGGGTCTAGTTGTAATTGGTCTTCGTTTTTACGATTTTTGGAATTTTGTCATCTTCCATCCTGTTGACATGATTTCTCCACTCCCTGCGTCTTCTTCTTCCATCCATCTTACTACGTGCTGGAATCCACACGTTTGTCTCATTTTCTCATTCGTCTTTCTGTCGTCTTGTATACTCTATAGTTAGTTGGAGTATTCTCATTTCAGTTGTTCTCAGATATCACTTAGTGCATGTTGTCTCTGCTCTGGTTTCTCTTACATAGGTCATTATTAGTCTGATGCACGTTTGATAGATTCTGATTTTACTTTTGATCTCCATGTATTTATTTCTCCATACAATGTTCCTTAGGTATTACGCGGTTATTGAGGCCGCAGAAAGCCGTTTTACGTCTATTTTTTTAATCTGTGCAAAGTATGCTCCGAAATTCAGAGTAATAGCGTGGGAATACTGCGAATCCACGCGTGTTTTCTTGGTATTCCCCCCGCACCGCGTCTCTGAGTGCTAACGCGCCCCGCATCGCACTACGCGCCGCGTCCCCGAGTGCTAATGCTCTCCGCGTCGCATCACGCCACGCCAGCGAACACCCTGCTCCGCACCGATATCTCATCATCAAACTTCTTTTCCTATCCATCCATATTCATTATCTATCCAAAAAACTAATTACACAATTTTTTTTTCTGCTTCTGTGAAGGGAGATGCTATCCCCGAGATCGATCAATCCGATCGAAAAATACCGTCGATCTCGGTATAAAAGCTTTCCAAAGAAGATCATCTTGTTCTGCGCTCGACTCTTGAGAGCACGTCTCGACAGAAGCGAGCATCTGAATCCGATTCCGGTGAAAGCCTAAGACTTATTGGGGATCTCCCCAACGCGTTAAATACGCTTAGCCAGGCCGAACCGTCTTCAAGCTCTTCTCCGGCAAGCCGAAGGTTACTGGGAGTCTCCCCAGCGCACCGAGTTCGCTCGATCCATCTCCGCTGTCACCGAATTCCACCGCTGAGTATCGGAGCCCTCCCTGATACGACAGCACGTCCGTCAGTAGTATGTGGGCTGCTATGGGGCGTCAAAACAAACCCCTATCACTTTCCCACTGGCGCCAGGGGCGTGACCTTCAGCTGTCAAGATAGGGTCTCCACGTGGAAATGGAGCGTTCTGATTGACTGAGGGGCGTGACCGGAGATAATTAGGTAATTAGTGGTGCGTTCTGATTGGATTCTCCCATAGTTGCCCGGCGTGTGATTGGACGCTCCCATAATTGCCCACGTGTGTGATTGGATGCTCCCAAAGCTGCCCGGGGTGTGATTAGTTGTCGAAATGCTAGACGAAAAGATAGGGGGAGGGGGTGAAAGTATCTGGGCCGTTCGAGGTCCGACAAAATGGCGTGTGCAAAGATGGCGGACACCTGAGGAGAATTTGTTCCGGGGTCTGATCGGGGGTGCGATAAAATTGCGACAAGAAGGATGACGGGATGTTGAAGGGGGATATACCTGATTAGCGGAGAATGGAATGCGGTTTTGGTACGGTAAACAGGACGGGGCGAAGAAAGGAAATTGATTCTTTGTATACGAGGGGAATAAATCGGATTTTTCTGAAGAGACTTCTCGAGGCTTAATAGCTAGTGAAACCATTAAAAATTTGTTCCGGAGCTGATTGAGGTCTGATAAAATAACGACTATGAAGATGACAGGCGACTGAAGGAATATACTGACGAGAATGGAATATGAACTTTATGGTATGATATGGTATGAATGACTTTATAACTTGGATTGAAGGAAGGAAATTAATTCTTTGCATTGCTCCGAGGTCGCTCGTGGACTCCAGCAAAATGATGCCAGCGATAAGAAGGACGACGAACGTCTGAAGAGAATATGCTTGTCCTGGAGAACGGAATGCAAATTTTATGGTATGATATACAGCTTAGATCGAAGGAAACTGATTCTTTGTATATATGAGATACAAATCACGTTTTTTTCTTAAGTCGGAAGGTTTTTCCAAACCTAATAATAATAGCTAACGAAAAACTATTAAAATTTGTTCCGGGGCCGCTCGTGGTCTGACAAAATGGCGCCAATGATAAGAAGGATGATGAATGTCTGAAGGGAATATGCTCGACCCCGGCGCTAATGGAAAAAGATTTTTTGCGGTACGATACGCAGAACGCCCCGAAAGTAGGAATTTACTTTGCATATATGGGAATTTGTTACTTTGTATATATGAGATGAAAATCGAGTTTTTCTTAAGACGAAAGGTCTCTCGAAAGGTTTCTCGACGCCTAATAGCTAGCGAACCTTAAAAATTTGTTTTGAGACCGCTCAAGATTCGATAAAGCGATATCTGCGACAAGAAAGATGAGGGAAGTCTGAAGAGAATATACTTGACCTGACGAGAATGGAATGCGATAGGAAAACAGGAACGAACAAGTTCGCACTAAATGTTTTTCTAACGAACTCGGAGCTATATGAAGCTCTTATTCTATAACAAACGCAATGTCTGAAAAATTTTTTAGATATTTCTAGCTCGAAGCAACGTAGCGCATTAATTTTTTTGGTTGAAAAGAAAATAAGAGGGGCAAAGACTAGAATTTAAGTTACAAAATCATTAAGTTTATTGTTATATCGTTGTACATATTATATCAATTCATAAATAAAAGTTACAAATTACGATTTGAGAAAATAATATGAAGAATTTCATTAAATCTCAGAGAAGTTAATTCCACAAATATTATATCGAAATACATATACAGAAATGTTAAATCGTTTATTTGCGTATGTACATTGCGCGCGATTTCGTGATAATTTCCTTTCAAACTGAGTTTTACAATATCGTTATCTATGTAACTTTTTGGAAGGTTTAATTCTATTTCTTTTATAAGATATTGCGCGCATTTGTTAACATTGTCGGTCATGTTTTGTAAATGTTTTAAGTGCGCGTCGACACATTTCACAATATTTTTCAAAGGTGAAAAGTACTCTTCTGCATCACAATTGTGATAGCATAGGTTTTACGCCTCTTCGTCGGTGGCTGCGAATCCTCGCTAGTCCTTCCTCGATGTTGAATTTCGATATTTTCCATAATCTTCATTGTCTTTATACGCCAGTAATATGGATCGTGACCCATAAGAGGAGGTAAAGTTGATCGCAACATTTTTGACAATGATAGGATCCGGTTTATTGTTAGCGTTTAAATACTCATCGATAAGCCCCATGTTGTTTAGGAATTGTTGCCAGGAATCAGCGTCGAAATAAATTCCTTTTGTATTACCGGTTAATTTAACCATTGGCACAAAAATTCCTTCGTTTGTTGTTTGCAATCCAACGTGTATCCTTTTCGTGTGAGAGATGTTGAGTCCATATGTTGTCGAGAGCATCATATGGAACTTGTCGTTTCGTTCCTCGTTATAATTTCCTTTCGAAATATCGCAGATGTATTTGCGCCTCTCGGAATCGGGGGCATTGCTCGGTTCCGGAGTATTACGCTTCTCGGTATCGGGAACAGCTTTTTGGCTCGCCATTGTTCCTGTTTTCTTCTCAAATGTAATTAATAATCACAAGCATCGAAATGAGAGACTACTTCGGATTTACGAAGTTGAAACGTCGAAGGATAACACTCGAATGAACCGAGGGCTGACGAATTCGTCGAGCTCATTGACTTATCTATTAAGAAAAAAGAACTGCGCGCGCAGATGGGCAAATGAAAAATTATAAAATTTAAAAAATTTTAAAATTTTAAAAGATTTTAAAATTTAAAAATTTTAAATTGTAAAATTATAAAATCTTTTAAACTTTAGATTTTCTAGACTTTTAAAACTTCTTCGCAAAATATTTTTTAATAAACCTAGAAACTACAAAATAAGGGAGTTAGAGATGTTTCTTGAGTGGGGAGCTCGTTTTCTTTTAGCTATGTTTTAGCTAGAGAAATAGAAAAGAAAAGAAAATACCGCGCGGAATTATAGAAAAGTCTATTTCCGAGATTATATTTTCTGACTTGGTCGGTTTTTACATTACTGCGCCGATTCGTTCGCTGTCTTAATTTTAAAATAGTAAAGGAGTGAAAAAATGGCATTCTGTGAAAAATTAAGAAGATTTTTTATCGTGTGCGCGAATATCAACCCGACGATAAACGCGAGTGTTTATATTTCATTATTAATAAATGAAGAAGAAACAAATTGTAATCATCACATTTGCAAAATTCGTACCGGAGTGTTCGAAAACCCTATTGAGCATTATGTTCAGATTAGGGTATTTCGTGGACAAAAGACTTTTGAATATTGTAAAAGAATATATAACCGGTGCAATAGCTGGTGTGGGGGAGGATGATGCTGGCGGACATATCGCTTATTTTACAAGGTGCACCGGAGGAGGTAAATATTTATTTTTAAAGTAATTGAAATTAGAATATGTAGGTATAAAAAATTTTAATATTTTTAAAGCGAGAGATAACATCGCGATTGTACATCCGTACCAACTACAAGGATTGAGATGCCCCGCCGAAAACGAGGCGGAAGGAGTAAATGAGCGTGAGTAAAATAATAGAAAATTGATATAATTGAAAATCTAGATTTCTAAATTTTCAGATTTTTAAATTAAAATACCGAATTTTTAGGACGAGTGCGAATGCGGATAGACGTGTAATCTGAGAAGGGTATCCCAACGGTTGATCTAGGTAAGAAAATATCTTTCAGGTAAGAAAATAGCAAATATTGCTTTCAAAATTATCTCACTGAATATCGAATTCAATTAATAAAAGCTTTTGTTTCAGATGCGGAAGAAAATATCGATGATGAGCCGACTCTGAGCGAAGCCGACACCGAAATTTACACACCGCATGAGTAATTATTTAAAATAATAAAAGTTATAAAACTCATATTAGCTAATTCTTGAAAAAAAGATAATAATAATAATAATAACAACGATGTTTCTTTTTTTAAGCAAACGACCTGGATGAATCCGAATATAGAGAAGAAAATGAGGGGGAAAACGAAGAAGAACAAAAAGAAGATGTAGATGAAGAAGGAGAAGAAGTTGATGAAGAAAGACAAGAAGATAAAGAAGGAGAAGAAGATGACGATGACGATGAAGAAGACGAGCGAAGAAAATGGAAAACAGGAGAAGAGCCTTTGAGCAATATGCGATGAGCTTTTAGAAGAAGAAATCGAGGTTCGCACGATTTTCCATCAGTGCGAAACACGGACGGGCTATTTTTCGGAAAATTATGAAGGTAAATTTAATATTATTTTTAAATTTTAAGATAATTTATTCTTTCCGATAAATTTATAATTAAATGTTTTTTTTGCTAGATTAATACGCTCTATAAAAGCTTTGTAAAAGCGAAGAGAAAAGCTGTTCAAGAGATACCTTCGATATGCTGGAATCTATTCGCTAACATAAAAATCGAATAGAATTAAAATATTTATCATTAATATTTTTTGTTTCCCATTTTCAGTACAAATTTTCAATACAGGAGGCGTTTCACGTGAAGAAGAACAAGAAGATCGTTATTTACATCAGCTTCAGAACCATTCGACGGATCTTCAACAGCATCACAGCAGCAACAGCAGGAGCACCGGTTAATCGACGAGGATGCCGCGGTCGACGACAGCGACACGGTCAGTGAAAATTTCACTTATATTGAATTACGGGCGGAAAACCCGTAAATTTCAAAAATTTGAAGTACTAGGTAGGGAGGTGACATTCGCGATACGTCCTCTCGCGGAAGGTGCTAGTGATATCGTGAATTATTTAGAAAACGTGTTTCGCGAAATCCACGTATGCGATACGTTTGAGCGGACTGGACGATTACGTGGGGTTATCCTTCGATTCGACAAATTTATCGCTTGGCCCGGCAGGTCTTTCGTTTCGTCTGGCGCGAGACTTGACTCACGAGGACATATGGAAACTCGTGAGTTCGTTTATTTTACCATACGCGTTTTTAACGTAGCGGTACCTTTGGAGCAAGGGGATCAAATAAATTAACGCGAGAAAGCATCGCGAAACGCTCGATTTTACAAATAAAAAATTCCGACAATCTATGCCTTCCTCGCTTCCTCGTAGCGGCGAGGATTTACTGCGAACGTGGTATTCTGCGCACGGGAGAATTGCACGAACGGTGGGAATCTGTAAGATACGCGACTTCTTCGTTACAGTGTAAGTTGGCGATTGAGTTAATAAGGAGCGCGGGTATCGTGATCCCCGAGGAAGATTGCGGATATAATGAAATCGAGCGTTTTCAACGATTTCTCGCCGCGGAAAATATCGCTATAATAATTTATAATTTTAGTAGTTTTGGCCGAGGTGAAAAACCGAGGTACGACGGTCGCGCATTACTCGCCTCCCTCGGACGCGAACCTTTGTATACATTAAATATAATGTATTACGAGGATTCGCGTCATTATAACCCTATATTAAATTTAACAACTGCAGGCGGTTCGTGCGGCGGTTACTGCGAAACGTGCAACGAGAGCCCAAATAACAAGGGAGGGTGTGCGTCACGGCGGGGCCCGACCACGAACCAGTCGTGAAAACTCGTAATTATTTTGCGAAAAAATACCACCTCAGCCAGGAATTGAACCTGGATCTCCTGCTTACCGGGCAGGCATCTTATCCTTTCGACTACCGAGGCATGTGATGATATTTATCGCAAATAACGTGTTTAGAATTGAAAAATTGAACGAACTTACAGTGAAGTTCGATTACAATTATGCCGTCTCGTCCGGATGGATATATTGTAGTCGCGCTCCGTCGCGCTGTCTCCAACAGGCTTCTTAAAAGTTCCTTAAAAAGGCAAAAGATGGCGTCCTCACGACCTCGGCCGTAGCGCGCGCCAAGGACTTCATTATTTTAAAGTTGCCAAATCTGATACTAAGGGTTGGGTGGGTGGGAGTATCCATCCGAACGAGACGGCATAATTGTAATCGAACTTCACTGTAAGTTCGTTCAATTTTTCAATTATGCAAAGTCTCGTCCGGATGGATATATTGTAGCTATTTAAAGCTAAGATTTGGTAGAAAAGTATATTTTAATCATTGTGAACATCTCAATGCCAAAATAAAGAAAACTTGTGTATTCAAAATTGTCGTCTGAAAAGACGAGTCGTTAATATTTCTATTATAAAAAAGAGCAAAGATGTCTGAAGATTTGCTCCAACCTGTGATTCGTCTAATTTCGTCTATGTTAATGCCTCTGCTGGCTGCAAAGGAAGTGGAGGCATGACGAGTAGAATGGGCAGAAAAAATAGAAATGTCTACTCCCGCTATTTCAAGAGTTGTTTTAACCCAACTTACCTAATGTTTGGGAGGAGACTGCCTTATATGATTTGCGATATGATATGAAAAAAGTCATGATTATCCTGGCGAAGGTCTTGTGTAAATTTAAGGTACTATTTCAGGGAAAAGATATAAGGATCTGGTTTATCCAGAAAAGGCTTGAAAAACGCATCGAGGCTGATATCTGCCAATCCCCGAAGTTTTGAGACGCGCCGGGATCTTACTAACTATAGAGTTCGAGAAAGCAATATTCGAACACTGGATGGCCGCTAAAGTCTGCATTCTTTGTGCAGTTGTAAAGGCGAGTAAGTGTCGGTCCACAATAAGTATTCAATCCCCAAGCCACAAGAAACCGACCAATCACAGTCGATTATTCATATTCGACTATAACCGGCCAATCCCTTACCTCCCAAAGCTCAAACCACCACCGTGGACCGAGACTAAGGTAACTAACTTCTTAGAAATAAGTTCCAGAGAGAGCTCCTCATATGGATACAGAGCAGCTAAATGAGCAATCGCCGGAGATGGATCCCAAGTAAAATCGTAATGCGGCTTTTGCGGTTTTAACATAGCAACCTCCCTAAAGAGTCTCCCGAACGGATGGAGACCTATTTTCTATTATTAGAAGGAATAATGGAAGTAGCCGAGCGATACGTGTTTAAGGTGGAGTATGACCTTGAATTTGAAAAACAAGATGATAAAACTCTAGCGCAGATGAGGTAAACGGGGAAAAGATATCTTCACCTCTCTCGTTATAGAATTGCGACCATAATCTGAGAGGTTTGGAATACTGCGCAATTGTAACTTCTGTAATCGATGCTAACATCGGCTCAATCGCGGACACCGATGTATCCCTTCTCAAGAAAGCTTGGCGGATAATTTCGCGGTAACCAGGGAAATCCTGGTCCATGCTGGGAACCAAAGTGCTGGCCACCACGGGATAACTAAAATTCCTTCCGCCTTATCGGAAATAATTTCTCGTAAGGTTCTTAAAATCAAGATAAGGGGAGGAGATGCATAGAAGTAAAAATTTCTCCAATCTAGCGAGAAAGCGTCTATTAATATGCCCCCGGGTCCCCGGAAACCAAGGAATAAAACGAGAGCATTTTGCCTTAGTTGATAGCAAATAGGTCGATATCAAAAGGACCAAAAGTAGGGGCAATTGTGTCAAAATTATCCTGATTGAACATCCATTCCGTTTCTTCCGAACTCGAGATTCGGCATCTGCCTCACTATTCTGAGCCGAAGGGATATATGCAGCGTAAATAAATAAATCGCGATCTGCACACCAAGACCAGATTTTTCGGGCGAGGGCAGACAAATAGGGGAATCGAATTGAGCCCATGCGATTTATATAAGAGAGAGCAGTAGAACTGTCAACTCTCAGGAGAGTATCACATTCACGTAAATGCGAAGCAAAACATTGTAAGCCGTAGAACGTAGCTAAAAGTTCTAGATAATTAATATTTTGCTTGTCTTCTGGAGACCAGAAACTGTGTGTTCGGGCCTCACCACAGATAGCGCCCCGTCCCGTCAGGGAGGCATCCGTAAATATTTCAAGCTTAAAATAGCCTGTTCTAATGTTGTTGCATTGTGAATAATTTTCGAACACTGCTCTCCACCATAAAAGATCTTCTCTGATTGAGGCAGGAAGAGACGTTTGAGCCTCAAGGTTACGTCTACCGACAAAAGAGCTAGAAATTTCTCTCTCTCCAAAATTTTAGTGTGTAGCATTCCGTATTTATTTAATATAGCGCGAGTTTTCTGTGGATACTTTCTGTCATCAGGATGAATCGGCAGGAGCAAATATGCATCTTCCAAATCGATCGAAGCAAGAAAATCGCCCTGTGAAAGAAGGCGAATAACTGTCTTCCAGTCCTCGAGTTTGAAGTGTGGAGCTATAATAAAATTGTTAAGGCATTTTAATTTTAATATAAATCTCCAGCCTCCTGATGATTTTTCTATCACAAAAACGGAATTAAAGTTAGTCTATATAATCCGATACAGATTCGGTTGCCCCTTTTTTCTTAAGTCTACTTATTTCCTGACTGGAAATCTCTCGATCCCTTTCAGACAGGTACGCCGGAGGTTCGTCGGTCTGAAAAGGCGGAAGGTGACTGAAAAGTAGTCTGTATTCAGAAACTGCTTGCAAATCTACGTAATCTGTGATAATTTCTTTCCGACGAGGAGGGAAAAGGAACAGCCTACCGGCTATATCTACCTCTTCAGCTAACGTCTCCTCGAGATCTCGAACGATACATTGCTTGACGATTGCTTGTCGACGCCCCTGCTCTCCGTATTGTCGAGGCTTTCGGTGGTACGGGGGCCCGGGCATTTCCCGATGTCGTATTCGCGGGAGCCGTATGTATCTGATGCTTGCTAGGTTGTCCTTTCCTGGATATTATTGACGTTGCTCTAATTAAGTTTCTGCTTGATTTCTCCAAGGTAGCCGCTTTCTTTAATTCTTCTCCGAAGGATTCACCAAAGAGAAAATCGTCTGATGGGATAGTATCTGCCCTGTTGTTGGCAAGCAGATTAAGGGCAGGCATGATCTGTACCCGCCTGACCAAGGGAAGCCGATACAAGAGATCTGCCAAAATTCTCGCTCCTTCGTTGATTTTCGGCATCGCTGGGCGTACTTCCGGAGCGACTGCTGAATTTCAGGGATGAGGAGTTCCGAGATTGCCTCCCCAAAAGCACATAATGCAGATCCTATTTGCTCTTGGTCTCTGCTGTTAAATTTGTCTCTCTGGATGATAGAATTGGTCTTTAGTCCGGCTTCAAGCTCTGGATTGAGCTTGGGAGCCTTGAGGAAAGCCAATTCCTCAGAGGGAGAGTACTTCTTTAAGAGACTGTCGCGCTGATCAGTGAGGAGGCCCTTACCTGTAAGGTGCCATTTTGTCGGAGACTAATTCGTTCCAGGGCCGCACCTCCTTCTTTTCGAGTTCCGAAGCAAATATCTCTTTTGCAAGGTCATTACTTGGCAGAACCGTGGGCAGAGGTTTGTCCCTCTGCATAATCTCAACCACCGGGGGAGATCCAAAGGCTACGTTACCTTTATCTGTCGAACCTGTCACATGTAAAGAGTTATGCCTCGGAAAGGTTGTATCGATTTTTCCGCCTATATTCTCCAAATATAGACCCAGAAAGCATGTACACACCTGAGTCATTCAAGACTGGGGGCCCTTCCTGACTCGCAGGCGCTGCCCAAAACAATTTTCCGGCAAGGAGTTTTGTTTGATCGGAATCTGCTTCCGGGGCGGCGTTTCTATCAGGCAG